ATTTCTTGTTAATATTTTTTTTTAATTTTCAGCTCGTGTTGATAATACAATTTTTTTATTTTTTTTTGGTTGTTGCTTGTATGTTAATTCAATGTAATTTCAGTTTTTTTTACAGATTCTTTCAGGGATTTCAAATCAATTTATATCATATTAGACAATGGAAGTCTTGACTAATATAATGCACCACGAAACATTGTCAACCACCTTCAAACAAATATTGTTCTCATGTCTGGAGCTCCGCCCCCAAGCATACCCAGAAGCTGCTGGATTCCATCCAGAAAAGATCCATCGGCCTGATTGGAGACACGAAAAACACTTGCAACCTTGATAGCCTGGAACTTCGAAGAAAGGTTGTGGATTTGTCTCTCATCTATAGATAATTTCACGGGAAGTGTTTAAGTGACTTGGCACATTTGATTCCACCAAGAGCGGTACATATCAGAAATACACGACGGATTATTGCTGCTCCTCGTTTTGAGGTTCAACTCAGTACACCTCAAACTTCACTGCATAAGAACTCTTTCATTTGGACAACTGCGTTTACGTGGAATAAACTTCCTGAGAACGTTCTTCCAAATGAATCAATTCTCCATCGATTCAAATTCAACGTGAATCGCTACTTTGGCACAGGCACCACTCTTAGAGTGCCTTAAAAAATCTGTAGTGCTTGTGTTCTGTCCTTAAAACAATGTAATAAATATTTCCGTTTCTCTTTGTTTCTCCATGTTAATCCCAAATCTATTTTTTTCACACTTTTTATGATCAACCGTTACTCCATTTCATTTACAGGTCACAAAACATTTCCATATTTTCAGATAATTTATACACTAACACGCAAACACACAAATAGACCGGAACGTAATAATTTTCACAATATCGCTATGTGTTCTGATAAAGAAATTAAAAATAAATGGTGAGTTGGTTAAACTGTAACGAACCATGTAATGTCAGTGTTTTCCAATTTTTTTTTCAGATATCCATTACATTATCACGTTAGATCACATTTTTTTCAGATATTAATTTTTCAGCCATCTTAGAAACGGTAGGTTCTACAAGAACGGTTGAATGGAACAAAAGTTACCTTTTTAGGTATGTAAGATAATGGTATTCTCAGATCGACAAAATCGACAACCGTTTCTGAGTTATTTGCAAAAAAACTGAAAATGATAGATTTTTTATTGATCTACCGCCTCCATTTTCAACAATATCAAAAAAAAAACAGAAAACTTTTTGAATCATTCCATGTTTTTCATAATCTGGTCCATTCCATTTTTCATTGCTACGTTAACATGCTTCGTGTTTGTCATAAGTTTTTTGCAATTTTAGTTATACGAATAAAAAAATGTGATAGATATCCAACGAAGGACCTGTAATATGATTTTCGAACACAAATGGAATATGTTGCATTCAACAAAGTCAGTTTATGGCTTATTTACTCTTGAATTGAAAATAGACGGACATATTCCGTCATATGCGACATCTTCTACCCTTCTTTCGAAATTTCACCCCCCATACAAAGTAGGATATAAATCAAGATTGTTGAAATGAAAATAATTGAACCGGAAAAAACGAAAGAAACCCATGTGGCTTTTTCAGAGATTTGGAGAAAAGAAAAGTCAGCTACCACATACCATACTGAAAATGCATTCCAACGCGAGTGCTATACGAAATTCACTGGATGCTTTGGAAATTATGATGAAGTACTATCGTTCTGAATCCATTAGTGAAGCCAAAACGCGTAATTCCAGCGAGCTTTTTGTAACACTTCGTGTATCAATGAAACTTATCAACTCACCCAAAACATCTTGCTGGGGTATCCACTTCCTAGTGAGAACATTATAGGGTTGATTTGGTAAATAATCTGTTTCCCACTTCCACAGAACTTTATAGGGAAGTTCTGATAAAGCTTCAATAATGATGTTTCTTATTTCGGAAGAAATATTCGCACTCTTGACGTTTGAACCAAGACTGAAGTAGACGACCCCTTCGGGTGCAGAATCCAAATAATCTTGGAGGTCCTGTAATTTTAACATAAAACTAGTTTGATGTACCCTCAGTCAAAGTATTACAAATGTTTATATTTTGCCTATCTCTTGAGACAATTTTTGAATTCAAAATACAAAAATTTGCCATGGAAATGAATATTTTGGATGAAATAGGGAAATAATATTCCGAAAGGAAACCGATATGCAAATGTGGTTTTCCTCTATTAAAAGCACAAATGTGAAGGATAAGTAGTTGTTTCCTGGCAGACATTTTTCAGATCCTGAGGTTTTGGAACGTTGAAATTTAATTTCAATTTTTTGAGCAAACATCAAAAATATCGATTTCTCTCGGACGAATCAATTCATTTCCTGGGGACGTATTGGAGCTTCGATTCTACACATTGAATGAAGCTCTTCGGAACTGTTCATGATTGATAGGTAAAAGTCAAACTCAAGTTGTTCATTCATTGGGTAGATACACCTTATCAAATCTAGAAAGAGACCTGAAATTTCTTACAACCTGCGAGTTCTTTCTTTCTTTGACATTGACGACAGTCGTCGTCTTGAAAGTTTTATCTGTCAATTCTGCTTCAAAATAAAGTATTTAGGCATTAATTCCATTACCCTAAATTTCAATTTTTTGAGTTGACCCGTTCGAAAAATAAAAGGGGGGACATTAAAGAAATGCACTGAATAAAAGCCTATAACCGTTTTTACGTGAACTATAGCCGTTTACCACAAATTATAACCGTTTGACTCAAACTATGCATAAATCTGTAGCCGTTTCTTGCATGAACATATAGCTGTGTTTGCATAAATGAAAACCTCCAGCAGTTTTTGCAGCTTTTTAGCAGAATTACCCCGCAGAATGGGATTAGAAATAAATCCCTTATGGCAGTGTAGATGAATAAATAAATAAGTAAATACACAACCAAACGCCTTTAGCCGTTTTTGCATGAACATATAACCGTTTATGCATAAATAAAAACCTCTAGCAGTTTAATTGATAAATACATAATAAACGTCTTCAGCCGTTTTTGCTTGAACCTATAATCGTTCATGTATGAAAACCTATAGCCGTTTCTTCAGATTTTTATCAGAATAACTCCGCAGGATAATATTGGAGCTGACTCACCTTTGGTAGTGGCTTCTTTTCTCTGATGTGAATCTGGTTAATCTCAATCATATTTGGAACGTTAGGCCTGATAGGATGAATGATTGGATTGACTGTTGTCAGAATAAGGCTCATATTCTTTTCCACGTCTCCCAAGTAAGGAATATTCTCCCCAAAATGTTTCCTGGCTACCTTGTCTGCCATTGGAAGGGCGTACCAGTAATATAGAATTCTGTATAGTATGTTGTGGAGTACGCTAGATATCTTATCAAAGAAACCCAATTTTCCGTGGAGATTAAGCATGATATCTGGAGCTACCAGTGGATGGGTTGGATTTCCTACCGCATCATGGGCATGAAGGTACAAATCCATAGAAGATATTCCTGAAATAAATGATGTTTTTACTGGAATCCATTAATTTCAAATGATATTGTAATAGAAAAAAATTGATAGTGAAAATTAAGGAATTAAGTACAATTGATCTACAGTTCAAATGTACCAAGGATACTTCGAAGTCCAGAGTCTTTTGCATGTTCCCCAAGAACTATAGAGATTTCATTCCATTTCGTTTATTTTCATTTCCTTCCGACTTCATCTGTTTCGTTCTTTTCGTTTCTTCTTGTCTCTTTTCGTTTTGTTTTCTTCCGTTTTGTTTCGTTTCGTCTCTTTTCGATTCCCTTTCTTTCCTTTCATTCCATTTTGTTTCGTTTGGTTTCCTTTCCTTTCTTTTCCTTCCATTTCATTTGGTTTCATTTTCTTTCGTTTCGTTTCCTTTTCTTTCGTTTCGTTTCCTTTTCTTTAATTTCGTTTGCTTTCGTTTCTTTTCGTTTTCTTCCATTTCTTTTTTTTTTCATTTCGTTTCGTCTCTTTTTGTTTCGTTCCGTTTCTTTTGCTTTCTTTTGGTTTGCTTTCGTCTCTTTTAGTTTCTTTTCATTTCATTCCGTTTTATTTGCTTTCATTTCGTTTTGTTTTCTTCCGTTTCGTGTCGCCTCTTTCCTTTTCTTTTCCTTTCGTTTCGTTTCGATTATTTCCGTTTGCTTTCCTTTTCTTTCATTTCCATCCGATTCGTTTCGTTTCTTCTCATTGCGTTTCGTTTCGCTTCGTCTCTTTCCGTTTCGTTTCGTTTCGTTTCTTTTCATTTTTCATTCGATTGATGACCTATTCATTTTGTAGAATTCCATATTGACTATAGGATGAAGAAAATAACTTTCGTCTGAAGTCTACTGAGTTTTTCATTTGTCACGACCGGTTTCAGTTTGTTGAACCATTTTCTGTCAAAATGAATCAGCTCCAAACTTGGAACTGAATTGATGAACAACTCATTTTTATCGCCAACATTCTTCGAATTATTTGGTAGATTGATCCGTTTTTGTTATTGTGATATTCAATTTTAGCGTTTTTCACAACTTGGAATTACTATTCTGCAATTCATATGTGAAATATGCGTTTGACATCATTATTTTAACATAGTTCCGCATATCATTATGAAACTGGACATTTGTTTCGTTTATATCTCCGTGAGGTGGTCCGACTCCTCTGTACCTGTACGTTAAGGAGGTTGCGTTGATGACCATGTTACGTGATGATGATGATTACGTGATGAATCACCTTCAAACAGACCATGTTACGATTGCACAAATAAACACAGAACTGGCTGGTATCTCAATCGCCACAAAAGAAATAACCAGGAAAGGAATTTCTGGCAGAAACATAACAACCTACACTCATAGTAGACACGCCCTATAAACTTTGAACAGACAACGTGTTATCTCAGGGCTAGTACTAGAGTCCCATCAAAATGTAGCCAAAGCCTCGGTAAACAATAACATTACCCTGAGGTGGGTGAAAGGACACGACAGGAGTGAAGGTAATCGCAGTGCTGACACCTCAGTCCAGGAAGCGGCTGGACTAAGAAAATTAGGACCCAGTGACATCTACGGCCTGATGACTTCGACAATTGCGGAACTTGCCACATGTCACACCCATGCTCAATCCCTAAAGAGATGGGATAGAATTGAAAGATGCAGTCTTGCCAGGATCACCCTGGACGACCCTGGGAAGCTGGCTCCGAAGAAATATCTGGCGATGACCAGGAAAAACCAACGCTCAACAGTAGGATTTCTGACTGGCCACTGTCAACTAAGAAAATACCTCCATATTATGGCGCTAGTAGACACACCTCTATGCAGGATGTGTGAACAGAAAGAAAAAACTGTCAGGCATGTCTTATGCGAGTTTCCGGAGTTATCATTAATAAGAGAGTTTGTGTTCGGCGAGTCCTGGAAAGGGCAGGATGGACGATGACTTAGGAGGCGACTCCTCGGGATAATGTAAAATGGGTCACAAGTGGCCTAAGTGCTGTGGGCCTAGACTCAGCCTCCCTACCCTACAGATACAGATCTCCGTGAGGCCTTGTCCCTCATTTCGAAAGTATTTTTTAATCATGCTGACTCGTGGTCGATACTGTTGACACCCAAAAAACAGCAAATAAAATGGTTACAGCTTGTATTGAAAGTTTCTTCTTATTCGAAAAATGAATGTGAAAACAACAGCCGTTTCACAACTTCATTGGTGTTCTTCGATCCCTGAGACATTCCACATGTGCATTCGTGATTTGCTTAAATTATAACCTGGTCTGTTATTGGGAAGGATTGCGGTTACTCACCAATGACTGGAGCTTGAAATTTTGCTCCAAAACCATACACCAAGGGATTGATGTAACTGGTTTGTACAAGCACTACATCGAAATAGTTTCCATCATAATTCTTCAAGTGTCTAACTTCTTCTTGTTCTAACTCGTAATCAAGAATATCCAGATAACAAGTGAATATTTTGAAGATGGAACTCATTATGAAATTTGGTGATTTAACTTTACTAGTTATGTCCAACTTTTTCCATAATTCGTAAACGATTTCCACATCTATTTCTCTGAGGGTTCTCAAACCGGATTCATTCAGTATGTTTGGTGTTATTACAATCACTTCATGACCCTTTACTGCGAGCTCCTTCCAAATCGGTTGAAGAATTATCTGTCCGCTCAATGACGGAATAGGAAAAAATCCCAAAATTCTATAACCAACGCTGAATTGAGCCAATACCGCTAAGCACACAAATATCTTATTCATTTTCACCAAACTCAAGTTGATGACTGATTAAACTTTGAAAAATAATTGGTTGGAAAACCTACTGCATTATCATAGGTAACGAGGCGTAAATACACGGAGCCAGCATTATGACTGATAAAGTACGAAGAAAAACTAATGAGAATCAATGACATGCAATTTTTTGCAGTTGGTAATCATTGGAATGGAGAATGCAGTGTTAGGCGAATATCATTTTCTCGGCGAGGTTTCAATTATTCGTTTACCATGAATATACCGTAATGCTCAACAAAAAATAGGAATTGATACATAACAAGTATGGAAAAACGTTGAAAATCATGTCTCGGAGAATAATTTTATTAAATTCGAAACGTCGGCAAGAAAACACTTTTTTTTTAAGAAAAAATTTATCGAGTTACCCAATCAACCTTATCTCAGAAAAATTAGTGTATCACTAAACTAGTTAACTAAACACATTAATATCGATATTTCTAGAAATATTCCTCTATTTCTAGAAATCATGACGGAAACCATTGCAAGGCATCCTACCTGTCTCCGCAATATTTGTTTTAGTAACAAATGTACATTTTTTTAAACTGCAATGTTCACAGACAAAATTGCCGTTCAAATTATCTAAGAAGTGCAAGTGTGTTCCAATAATTGAAAATCTATTGCGGCAGTTGTATCGCCAACAGCATATGCAGGAATAACTTCTGTGAAGAATCCTGCACTGACACCTGTCAGATATAATCCAACGCCCTTCGTGGTATTAGCCAGGGGAGTAGTTGTTTTCTGATAGGTGTCAGTCCATTAACCTACTGTGTAGGAAGATGAGACTGGCCTGAACGAATTGTTCTTAGATAATTTGATTTATAGCCAGTCTCCAGGTATGCCCAGGTATGACACCAACCCTCACGTTTTCCAGGAAACACATACCCAATATCCAGAAAAAATTAACGTTTGGGCAGGAAGTTTGGGAAACCATATTGTAGGACCTCTATTCATTGATCAAAATTCAACAGGAGAACTGTATTTGAATATGCTGGAAACTACTGTTGAGCCTCTCATCATTGAAATTGTCGAAGCGAATCCTAATGAATTTGATATGATTATTGTATTTCAGTAAAATGGAGTACCACCACATTACTCCAGACAAGTAACAAACTATTTGGATACTACTTTTCCTGGTCGTTGGATTGGCCATCGAGGTCCTACAGAATGACCAGTCCGCTCGCCAGATTTGACACCTTTGGGTTTTTTCATGGGGATATTTGAAGCAAAAGGTGAACGAAACTGAACCTGCTTCAATTTTAAATATACGGCAGAGAATAATGAATATGTGTAAAGATATTGACGTTACTGTGTTCGAAAATGTTCGGCGTGAAATATCGGATAGGCTGTTCATATGTCAAGAAGTTCGAGGCAATCATTTCGAGCATCTTCTGAACTGACCCCAAGCTTATTACCTCATATTATGTTGTTAAATGTCAATGTATTCAGGCAATTATTGAAAGTTTCGCCATTTTGGAGTAGTTGAAAATATTGACATTATATCCTAGGGAGCATTTGTCAGGAGCTTTAAAAAGCTCCCCCCTTTCAGTTGTTTTTTTCTCCAGATCTTGAAAGTATCATCTGTCAATTTCACTTCAAAATAAAGTATTCATGCATTGATTTCATTATCCCAAATTTCTATTTTTTGAGTTAACCCGTTCAAAAAATAAAGGGGGGGGGCATTAAAGAAATGCACTGTATATATTTGTGAACTTATAGTCCAGTGGTTCTCAACCTGGGGCACGCGAACCACTAGGGGTTTGCCAAGTGTTGCCAGTGTGTTCGTAGAAACATCGTAGAAGTGCAATAGCGGAACTTCATGAATAAAATACTTATTTCCATTCAGAAATGTAAGTACCGACAAAAAGTTCTAGTCATGCAGCATGACTTCGTGAACAAATTTTCCAAACACGTCTGAAATGATTCTGCGCTTTTATAATTTTTACTCCACTCTAAAACTCTATAACCATACTGAGTAAACGGCTACTCCAAAGGAAAAATCGTAGTGCTTCGGCGAGTACAATCAGTTACGAAAAATCTCTTGAAGTCAGAGGAAACTCAAAATGAAGAACTCTAGAAGCAAGCTTTCTTTCTCAAAAGACATTAATGAATTGGTGACGAGGGTCAACTAAATCGCGTAGATTCCTGGATATGTCTGATGACATTGAGAAAACAGGTATTACAGGAATAAAAACAGCAAGTACTGTGCAATCCAAGTCAATGAGAGTACA